ATATATATATATTGTTGTTAGGTGCACTTACTTAGTAAAATCTGGAGTTTTCTAGAAAAAAATACATTTTATTGGAATTTGTTAACACAGAAAAATCAATACAGTAGACCTTATTGCTCAAATAAAGGCAAAAAACATCAAATGCGGTCTAAAGGAAAAAAATGAAAAGTAAGAATTGCCAGTTTATATTTATTTAGTACATATTGCACATTAATAATATATTTATAAGTAATATTTTTAAATGCCTATAATACTGTCCTTGCCAGTTAGTTCTCTTCATTCAAATCCTAAAATAAAAAATGATTGAATAACTAAACCCTAAAAGCAAGACAATTGCATGTGCTCCACATCTGCATCACGTATTGTAACACTGCAATAAATCTTTGGGTGGACATGTTTTTATTCTTTTTTTTTTTTTCATAAGCTTCATTGCAACATGCAAATGACGTTTTTGAAAACACAAATGACTAAAATTTTAAATTTACAAGCATTACATGTTACTATATTCAGATTGTAATTTATTACACGACAACTATAAATAGGTGTACACATAGGACGCTGATAAAAAATGTTACATTACATGTTACACATACAGAGCACATATAAGTAATATGACAATTATAACTAGCTTGATCACACATATTTCATATTTATCAATGTATCAAAGTCTAAGTTAAAATACTTGTTTAACTGTTAGTTCAGGAACATTAAATACAAAATACTCACTACATCCACAGTCTCCGGTACATTTCTTACTTGGGTTTTGGTTTGGTTGGTTTTAGAATTCTCAAACCTGTCTTTACTTCTGACTAGCCACAATTTAATTACTGAAACTATTTCAGTTTCTGTTGCATTTGTACAACATATTCGTACACTTTCTAAAACAAATACATTATTAAAATTTAGTATCATTTTCTTCCATTTCTTAAGTTGAGAAAGTTTTATTTTATTTATTTAACTTCTGTAATGCAGGCATGTAAACAATATATGATAAAGTTTATCTTACTACTTATGAACAAGTTATATCTTATTGCCTACAGAGCAATAGCTACAAATAATAATTAACAGTTGTATACCTGGATAATAATCAGAACATAAAGCAGTACACTATTTGATGATATGATACATGTAATAGACTAATATAAAAAAATACACATACCTAAAATAACCACAGATAATCCCAAACTTTTAAATGGTTTTTTCTTCTTCGCACCTTCCCACGAATATTCCATTCCAATTTTATTTGATACTGTTCGATACATAATTTTCCGTGTAACTTGGTTTACTGAATTTCCGCCAATTCTTGAGAGTTCTTTAATCTAAATCATATAAACATTTATTATCATTTTAAATCTTAATGCATTTTCTTTAATTTGGTCTAAGACTTATTCATGTATAGCTTAGTTGTGGTATTTTGATATTTGTAATAATACAATATACTAAAAACAAAAACATGGTAGGTACTCTACACCAATTTTACAACTTTTTAGTAACCCCCTACTACTTAGTAACTTGAAATTTATGGATTAAAACTATGTCAGATTTAAAAGTTTGTACAAAAATGGACGAGTTAATTTGAAGAAATTTTTGATATTGAAGAAGTTTGATTTTGTAGTATTATATTTGAACCAATTTAATGTAATAACAACTTACCATTAGTTTTTGATTGTTTCTCTCCTTTAACCAATCTTCCAATGTTTTTAAATCAGCATCATTCACAATTGGAAGTAGATATAAAATTTGAGGAACTTGTTCAAGGTTCATAAGAGGGAATTCAGTTTCAATTCTCCTTATTTTTACTAATGAGTCAATCTTCTCCAAAGCTGTATTTAATTTCAAGTTTAACAAACTTATTTCACTGAGAATAATCCTTTTAAAATCTAAAACATACATTATTAAATTCCTTTAATGTCGAAAATTTATGTCAACACAGTAGTATTTGCAACAGTTTTATCTTACCTACGTCATTTGGTACTGTATGTCTTGGAATATTAGTTGATGAGCCTAAAAATTAAATCACAGGAAAAACATAATATATATATTTATATAGAATTGAAACTGAAATTACTATCCAAATATAGACAAGTCAGCAAATGAAACAAAAGATAGTGGGATAGATACGCAATGCTGCATACCTCACCATCATTCTTTTGACTTTTCTCTCTACATTTGAACAGTAATTTCAATTATACATATACATATAATTCAACTTACTCTGTGACGACTCAGTCCTAATGGAAGTAGTTTCTTCATCAGCAGCATCAATCAATTTATTTTGAGAAATAAGCACACTTGTCTGCCGTTCCAATGTGGAAACACTTTCACGTCTATGTTGATTTTGTCCATACTTGTTATGAGATGATGTCTTTTCCAAGTCTTCATAATTTTGTTGCAAATCCAAAAAATCAGATGTATGTAATGTTTCACTTCTCTTTACTGGTGCATCACATGCTGAGCTGCTTGATTTAGTTAACAAAGCTTCTGATTTACGTACTAAAATTATTTAATTCAGTTTTCCTTGTGCAAAGAGATCTCTAACAAAAATTAACAATTTTCTATTAAGTTCTCACCTGCTATATCTTTTCTTAGTATAGGATAGATGTTATCATCAGGCGATTCGTCACCTGACGAGTTTGAATCAGAATCATTATACCTTCTATTTCTTTGTGGCTTTCTATAACCTCTACCTTTAATAAAACTCTCCGCAGCTGAAGTTAATTCATCTGTATCTTGCGCCTTTGTCGCTTTTCTTTGGGCAATGTTGAAGTCATCTGAAACGTTATGTATTATAATAATGTTAATTAAAAAAACTACGGTTAACAGTGAAATATGTGAAAAGATAACTAAAATTTATATCATCCAATTGTTTTTTTATTGTTACATTGCTTTTGATATTCGTACAACCTAAGTAGAGGTATAAATCACTATAGGAGTTACATCCTTAATAATTTATAATTCACCATGAAAAATATATTAATAACTATATTATTTTTTGACCATGGCAATAGACCAAAGAAAAAACTTACCATATTCGCCCATCAACATTGCTGGATATGCTTTCCATTCTACTCCCGGATCCTGTCCAATTTTAATGAAATCTATGATTTTAGATTTTTTTGTATGCGTTGGAGGCCAAAAGCATTCCTTAGAAGAACGTACAAACCATTTTGTAGGTACCACTTCTACTGCATTTTCATTGGTGAATTTTATAACAGCCCAACCCATGATTTCAAGAACTGTTAGTACGATTAAAAGCTAAATTTTGTTTACAAAAATTACTTAACTGAAGTCCAAAAAGAATAACAAATATAAAAATAATCACACAATATGAGAAAAAAAACATTACTATCTACTTAGAAAATTAAACCATTACAGATGTAGTAATGGAAATGAAACTAATTTATTTTTGTATGGTAAAACCATCACTTTTTTCGAAATTGAGGTTACTGGAAAACTATATTGTACATTGTCAATTTTAGAAATGAAATTAATGCCAAAATGAGAAGAATTACAAGGTTTTTTTAAGAAACTTTCTGATTTCTTATATATTAATCCTATAATGACCACAGACGCTTGATATGTAGCAAAGTTTTTAATCTCAACAATGTTTCCATCCTTAAGTTCCACAAATCGGTCACATACCTTGCTCACATTTAAAAAATATTCATTTGTTTGCATAGCTTTATATTGAGGAGAATTACAGTTTTGCAATAATGGTCCAGAATAATGTTTAATAAGAAATTTAGTTCTATTACTATTACTGGGGTTTAACTCCAACGGCCCTAGCTGTCTTTGTTCAATTGTTCTTCGAACAACTTGCTGAAGAGGCATAGCAACTTTTCGTACTTTTTTTATTAATTGTGGCATAAAATTTTCAAATGGAAAAGCACTGAAACTGTCAAGGCAACCAAAAAGTTTTACACATTCTGACAAATGTAGAAGATTATGAACATTGTGCGATATAAAATCTGGACCGTAAATTTGTATTGAATTGAGTATAAAATGTTTATATAAATCATTTGCATAGTCCACAAAAATATTATTGGCTGAAAATTCTTTACTAACTAATATAAGAGTAGCTATACTAAGGCAAACAAAATTATTATAAATTTTAGATGGTAATACTTTCCTAAAAACTATTAAACCAGTGTATAATAGGAGGAGTCTAAATTCTGCTGCTTTATATCTTTTACATTCAATTAAAGATCTTGGTTTGCGGGCAAATTCTCTTGGTATAAACTTTTTTAATTTTAGTAGCTCATTACTTATCGAATTAATGTCTGAAGCACGAAGTTTATGGGGCGGTTTACCATAAACCCAACCATATCTTTTATTACATAATAATCTCTTTACTACTCCTAACAAAATACAGTGCATGTAATCAATTGGAACATTATTGATCATATTAAAATCAGGTATGTTTTCTATTAAACTTTTTCCAGTATGATGTTCAGATTGTGATCGGTTTCTAAAAGAAAAGTCTGTTCTCTGTTGAAAATTTGTGTTTAAAAAACATAAGACATTTTTATGCAGATCTCCTTCCAAGCAACATTTAGTACAAGAAAAAAAAGCAGAGTGACTTTTTATGTACAAAACATATGCTTTAGCAGGTACATCACAGATCAGCATTGAAACCCGGAACTTATATTTTTGTGAATTTATCAAAAGACCATTATTAACTAAATGAATACATTCATTAACAAAATCTGTTAAAAATTCATTGGCTTCTGGTTTTCCGACACCTTTATAAAGACCCACACAAAACACTTTTTTATCTAATACCTTAATTGATTTTACCATACATAATATAGGCCAAAAAGATTCATTAGAGCTTTTAAATAAAGGCACTCCATCAATATTGACAGCAATAGAAAACATATCTGTTGATGATAGTTTTACAGATTTGTTACACAGATTCATTAAGCTTTCGTGTATTCCAAAGTAATAATAACAGCCATTAGTTCCTAATTGTCTTAAATCAGTTACGGTGGGAGTACGTAAAAGGCTTCTGGGGTCTTTCGGTAAACTTTTTAATTGTGTTCCAGGATAATCTCCTTTTAGTAATATTAATAGTTTACCCAAAGTAGAAAGTGGTACATTTTCTTGTACAGCCCATTTAGCTAATTCTAAAGAAAAATCGGAAATACGAGTAGAAATATCATCGGAAGAGTCATAATTTAATGGCTCTATTGGTTGACAAAGCTGAAGAGTATCTTGTGTGTTCAATAGAATTTCTGAATTAATCCCATCATTACTTATACAATTTAAATCACATGCTGAACTTTGTGAAACTGCTATAGGTTGGAGTGAATTCACATGAAGTGCTGAAGGTAGGCTCATACAGTTATTTTGACTATTATGATTGTATGAAGCTAATAAACAATTTACCCTATTTTGAACTTTCCTTTTCAAATACTTTTTACCACTTCCTTCTTTATTGAAAGGTTTCGACATGCTACAAATTTTTATTGTTAAATGTTTGTTAACAAAATCATAAACTTACCTTGTTAATTGTTATTAATTATTCAGGCAACACTTACTTGTGCTTATCTACTTGTGTCTATGTGACTCATAATCGTGGCGATCATAGCGTGATTGGCGTGGCAAGCCGGTAGTTGGCGCCAACCGCCGGTCGGAGCTTGACAGTGTTGCTAGATTTTTATAAAGAGGTACGTTCAGCAAGAATCACTTAAAATATCTGCAAGTCCCTAAAGCAAATAGTGACGTGATTTTTACCTAAGACTATTTCGTAACATAATATTTAATATATATATACAAATACAAAGCCTCTACCATAATTTTTTTGGTTATTTTGCTCCGACTTTACATCGACAAAAATTAAGAATTCAGAACGCATGCTAATTCTAAATCTGGCTACACTGTCGCATAACGCCATAAAAATTGTACCAATCATGAAGCTGATGATGATTATTTTTATTAAAATGCACCAATCACAGCAGACAGACGAACTTTAGCAAAGTTAACAAATAAGAATCTAGAATCCAGGACAGTGGCAAATTCAAATATTACAAAACCTAATCTACAATAAACTTCCTTTAATATATGTTATATAAAACCACTAACACGATGAAAGATGTTTTAGGTGTTATTTAATATTTGGTAATGAATTTTTGATTGTTTAATGTAAGTATTTCCAGAAAAGTATGGGGCCGTTTTTATCATATTTTTATTATTTTTACACTGTAACAATATATATGACCTTGAGAATGTCGTTTCGTTAACTTTCTTTTAAAACGTAATTAGAATTACTCTTTTTCATTTAATATTCTGTGTTTAGACTGATAACAAGTAAAACACCACTTTTTCCTTTTAGTAAAATGTCACAGCTTAATAAACTGTGAAAATGTGACTGAAACGAAACGTCCCGCCCCCCTTACGTACGTATTACATAAATATGTGGATTCCAAAAATGTACCTAAAAATATATACCTTTTGTGTACATTTATCGTAAGTACATGTAAGGAATATCCAGAACGTACCTCAATTGCTATATTCATAGAATATACATGTAAAGACATACCTCTTGGATATGTTCTTAGTAAATACATATGGGAAATGTTCAATATCGGAGGTTATATGCACATACCAGGAATATACATTAAATTATTTTCATATCATGAACTTGTGAGGTATATACATTGAACCTTTAATGCTATCTGGGGGTTAAAATAGTAAACGTTTATACCATTTTATTTTTTAAAAATTCTTCAATTTAATGATTTAACTTAGCAAGAATTGTTACATTACATTACATATCATTAATAAAATAATATTTAAAAAATATATCAAATGCAACTGGTATCAGATTAATTATTTACCTTATGGAATATATCAGAGTTTTTGGTGCCACGGTGTAGTATATCTCCATACCCCACTCCCAGTCCGAAACATTCCGTAATTATTTGTGGTGGGGCGCGATAGAATGAGAGCGACCCAACTAGTGGGGACTTTAAGTTGCCCTTCATTGTACAACGAAACTGAAAATCAGAATAACTGAATGTTTTGCACAAATCGCATTTATTTGAATGAAAGGTAGTCAGATAAATAGATTCATCGTCAGATTCATCTTAATTTATCTCGAATGGAGTAGTTTTTCTTAAAAACAGTATTTTTTTGAAGGGTGATATAAACCATTAGTTATATAAGCTACGCTATCAATATGTTAGGTACCACTGCAATAATTACTATATTTGGCCCTGGATTTGAAATTTCTTTTTGATAACCACAAAATGCATATTTTAATTTTATTTATTAAATAATTGATTCGGTTTCTGAATTTTACTCTTAAACCGCGCATTCGACGAAATGTTTTATGGAAATAAAAGCTTTGATTGAAATTGGTATATCCACATATGTAAAAGAAAAGATTCTCTTTGACGTCAAATAACATTTTTGGTTAATCAAAATTTAAATTTTAACAAGGTTCTGCAATAATTGATAAAACATTATTAGGAAAAAATTTTGCTCTGCTTTTTGTCGTGAAAGTATATCGCAACGTCGCTATCGCTATGACACTCTGTAGAATGCAATCATCCTAAATTTTATTTAAATATAAGGGCATCATTTAAACTCCACATTGCGGTAATTATTTACTTTAGTGGTACCACCTCCAATCATCACAAAATTTTGTCTACCCCCCTATTTTCGATGGTGCTGAACACGAATCTGCAGTTTTTTTTGTGTGGTCGAACCTAGTTTTCGAGAAAAAAATTTTTCAAAATTCTAACCTGGATATTTCAGATAACACTACGTAGAACCATTGTATAAGTATTTACTTATACAATGGTAGAACTCTGCATATTTTATGTAGCTTTCCAGAACATCTGTTATGAACAATTAACACTATTCACGAAACACATTTTCGTAAATTTCAAGTAAAAAGATATGTATTTAATAAATAAAAATTTTGTAGTTTGAATCCGCCATTTGTAATTCGTGATGACAACATTGAGTTCCCCCACTCTCATTCAACTCTGTTCATCCCACATAAAGTTACTATAATTTTATTTATTAAATACATATTTTTTTTAGTTCAAATTTGGGAAAATGTGTTTCTTAAACAATGTTCATTGTTTATTACAGATGTTCTGAAAGCTACATAAAATATACAGAGTTCTACGTAGTGTTATCTGAAATATTCATGTTAGAATTTTGAAAAATTTTTTTCTCAAAAACTGGGTTCGACCGCACAAAAAAACTTCAGATTCGTGTTCAGCACCATCGAAAATAGGGGGGTAGACAAAATTTTGTGAAAATTGGAGGTGGTGCCACTCAAGTAAATAATTATCCACATTGCTTAGTCGTAAATCGTAACTTTAACCCACGTTATATCGTCAGGTAAAGGTAGGAACTTAAATCTCAGCAAAAAAATAAACTAATAGAACTAAAAACTAAAATTACTTCTATGGTGCGACTACTCATCCCAAATAATACTAATAGCCAAATAAACTGGGCATGTCCACAATTCCACATTTCTAGTAAATTTGACATTTCTTGTTCAAAAATTTCAAAATGATCTAACTGAACTGGCTTAACTTTGTTCGTACTCGCTCATCGAAAGATCACATACTATAGAAGTATGTGCAAAAGATCGATGTTCGTACTCAAGGATTTTATATCCTTGGTTCGTACTCAAACGGAGTCCATAAGAAAAATCCATTATTTTAGTGGAATTATATTTTTACTATTGGTAGCACCTGTAAAGGATTGTGATTGTCGTCATGTCATTTAATTGTCACCTGTCAAATTATAATTTTATTTATGCGTCAGTTCTAAATATCATCATTTTAATTAGATGTAGCAACATGTTTACACCTGTTTCTGTTTCCCTGTCGGGCCCAGCGTTTTCATTTCTGCTTTACGAGAACAGCAAATCCCGTTTTCAGCAGGTATCACAAAGGTAATATGACAAAATCGCCAATACTAACCTCAACATTTTAGGAGGGATTCCTTCTAGGGGAAATAGTACATAAAGAAACGAAGACTATCACTGACAATGATCAGCAACAGATCAACATTTCCCGTACGATTAAAATCAATTCGATGATGCCATGCCCACAACCTCACTATTTCTACAATGGGCTGGGAAAGATTGACAGGGATAAGATAAGGGAGTTCCTGGGAAATCAGTTCACCAAAGTCGTTGCTTGGTATAAATATCAACGAATCTCTAGTTTTAAGTTTACCCTGAAGGACAAGATTTTGCATAAACAGTTGCAGGATTTCTTCAACATCCCCCCCGAACTGTTTACTTGCTGCTTACTCATTAATGAGGTGTCAGACAATGGCTCTACCCATCTGTATTCACAGGCGTTTATGAGATGTAATAATACCATTTACGATAAGCTACCAGTTCATATTCCTAACTTGAGCGAACCTAATAATACCTATAAGAGCTCCGAGCCATCTTCTGCTACATTTAATAAGATAATAAATGATTTGAAGATCGACAGAAAAAACACTCAGGGTCTTGTTGTTATAAATAAGATACAAAATGCCTTACAAAAACACATAGACACTGTCATAGAAAATTTATCCGAGGCAGAAAAGTACCTTCACAGCTTGGAAGAAGAAATAAAACAGTTGGAAATAATGCAGAAACTGAAGAAATTAAACGATCAAAGCTCGAATGACCACGATTCTTCCATTGTATCCAATAGTAGTCAGTCATCAGAGAGTTCCCCATACATAAGGAGGAATAGTAAAAGTCGGGACCCCATCGATAGTTCCGAGGAAGGTTCTCCAGAATTCCAGAGGAAGCCTGGTAGGGGTCGGGGTGGCAGAGGTAGGGGCAGGAGGAGAGGTGGGGCAACGCAGAAAGACATTAAGGAGGTCAATGCAGAATCGTCAAGACTGAGAAGGAAGGAGTAAATTATGTTCATTTTAGATGTTGGAGATGATGGATTTATGAAAGTATTTGTTTTATTGAGTCAAATGCTTTCCGTTTAAAGAAGTATAAGTTGAATTGAATAATAAATTAAGCGAAAATTATTTTATCCTAAATAATATATTTTAAACCAAAAATTTTGTACTCGTAATTAATGTAAATATACCCCGGTGTTTAACAGCAAAAGCCAAAAATCCTTGATTTTAAGAAATAATAATTCAAACCTTTGGATTACGCACTGTTTTTTAATTGCTTTTGAAATATATTTTTGGAGCGTGGATGACAGTATGTATTTTCAGTACCTTGTTGAAACTTACAAATTTATAAATTATAAAACAAATAATATAAATTATTTTTTAATTTGTATTTGTTACTATCTATTAGCAGTAAAATCCATTAGTTTTGAAATAAACATTTGAAATAAATCTACAAATAATATTGGTCCATTTTTGATATTGCAAATTAAATACAGGTTAACGTAAGTAAAAAAACGAATCAAGTTTAATTTTATTATATAAACCGAGATATAAACCATAAAATACTATTCCAAAACAATAATTTCAACAAAATTGCAAGTTCAAACTTATAAAATTTGAAGGTATAAATTTTTGAAAAATTGCACTAATGTAATGTTTTTTTTCACAAATTTCATAATTTTATTAGTAAATATTTTAAAAATTAACATTAAAATATATATATTTAAATTTATCTCAATTATTTTGTTTTTCCATTCATTGAATGTTTTTTAAATTAACGTCAAAAAAGGGCAGTTGCACCAAAAATTTATACTTTTTCTTCACAATTAATCTTTAATAATGTTAAGAAAATTACAGTAAGTCAAGTGAAGAATGTAGGATAACTTTTTATTTCATTTTGGATAAAAAAGCTAATATATTTTAACAATTGGCAGCTCCAAAATAAATCAGAAGGTGAAGGATTTGCAATTTTGAAGATGATTACAAATATCCACGTTTTTAAAATCTATTTTTAAAAAATATTGCAACTTCAGTCATCCTATAAATGAGGACACACTGTAAGTATATAGACAAATTGAAAATATTAGAAATACATATTTTAAAATGTGACAAAGAAAATCAAGAAAATGCAAAAAATCACATGGGTATTTTGGAATTTCTAATTTCGGATTCATAATTAGAAAAAAAATAAGGGAAAGTAACAAGGTACTGTTGGTATATCTGGGTTCCGGAGTTAAATTCTACATAAGAATATTGTTCAACACAAAATGTCTAAGATCATGGAATGTTCCTGTGATATTCGGATAAATTTCGAATCTATTTTACTAGTTGTAAAGTTTGGAACAAACACTTATCTAACACAGTAACTTTGACCTCTATATGCGGATATTATATATAGGAAATGTAAATAATGTTTATAACATGATCGTTTAATTTTTAACGATTATTTTTTCTTCTAAGCGAATTGTTTGCATTGTCAGAGATCTTGCAACATTTTTTTGAATATAGAAATGTAATAAAAATAAATTCAAAGGTCACACTAAATATTTTTTTTTAATCTTTAATTTAAATTGCTTTAGCTGTTACTGACTTCAATGTATTTCATTGTTTTATAAAAAGTAATTTTTATTGTATTTAAAATATTTAAAGTTACCGCATGAATAAAATTATGTATTACTACTCTATTGTTTTTAACCGATTATTTCCAACACAATTTGCATATCCTCATTTTAAATCTGTTAATACCTAAGGTTCCGATAGGCTTACATAATAAGAAATTAATGAAATTCAAGAAATTTTTATTAAATCCTCATACCAGTTTCTGTGGAGATTATGTATTTAAAATTTCGTATATGAATTTGAAAATGTAGCCAGTTTCTACTAAATTTTTCAATAATTTTTGTTTTTCATATAATTTCTTCTAAATTAATGTCGAAACAAAGACAATTTTACAATTGTGTCTACGCCCTCACTGGGTGGCTTCTGAACTCGGTTGTATGTGCATGCTTATAAGTAGTGCCTATTATTTTCTTTAAACCATCTGTATGAAACTAATGGAGTGGCAGACAGCAAAGCTGCAATGGAAAATCTTTAAAAATAAGTTGCAGATGAACATTTAGGAAATTTTCAAGTATTTTTGAAAAATATTTTTTGCACAATTTATTAAATATTAATTAATACCGGTATGTGAACAAGCATATGTGCAACTACTGAGTAATTTATTTTATGGTTTTAGTTACTTTTACTGTTCTACATATAAAATGTACATTTTTTAAAGCACTCTGTTTAGTTTGTGAATCTGTCAATGGACTTCTGGACACTGGTTTAGCTTAGGGGAATTACATATCAATCAACTGGATATGACAGTTTAGTTTTCAGTTTATTGATTTATAAGATGTTCATAATTTGGTAGGAAATTTTAGGACATTCTGCATGTAATATTAGTTTTTACTATAATCAAAATAGAATTTATATGGTGCAATGTTGTGTTCTATCAAAATTTGTTTTAAATTATAATTTAAAGTAGTATTTAGTGAAGCGTCTTGAGTAATGTGAGCATACAACTTTACAGTATTCATACCTTCTTTGTCAAATTTCTGTGTGAATCAAAAAAGATGAAATTTTACCTCGATGTATGCTGTAACTCATGCGCAGCCTGTTCTGGCTTGTTTGACGTTACACTAGCCGGTCCAGTGGCGGAGTAAGAAAAAGTTTTAAAAAATTCAGTTTTCATGACGGAATATGGAAAACATGTATATCTAAAGCCAAAGGTATATAAAAAAAAAATTACACCATTTTAAATGTCTTTTTTAATTTCTAACATTCATGAAAACACAAGCTTTGGAATGAAAGTAAAGAATAAGATTATTTCTTATTTCCTGGTGTCTCGAAATACAATGATTCTTCTTGACAATTAAACATTACAGCAAATCGATGGCATGAGAGGGATGTCCTCTGAGCTCCCAAATGGTAGCAGATAATCGTCTCGTTTGTTCAAGGACACATGATGCCGTTACTAATCCCAAATGCATGCAAAATAATTCATAACATCTTACTTTAGCGGAGGCCATTTTGGGAAAACATATTTCCTTGAGTTTCCTGAAAAAAAAGTTATTTAAGAATAATTCACTTGTGTAACAAGCACTGTAATATTTCATATTCAAAATTAACATACATGTAAAAGTCTTCACATAAAATACCGGGTAATGGTAAATTGGCAGTAGGGAAAACCGATGGTTTCAATGGGGCACCACTTGTGTCTTCGAACCACAAGAAATAGGTATAATTGAAAGTCGTGTCCTTCCACATTAGAGATAAGTTGCCTTCTTGGAGGTGAAGCCTTGCAAAGTTCATCATGAACCAAATCTGCAAATTATCGAAATATGTAGTTTCAAATAATTCTTGTCGATGTTATTGCGAAAAATATATGCACAGTTTTAGATATATTTTTTTTTGAGATAATTGGCATACCATATCAATAAAAGTGTTGGGCTATCAAGATATTTTTTATATAATTATGATTCAAGCACCCACTTTATCTATAAATGATATAAAAATGTTAGACTACATTTTTGAATTATTTTACTCTTTGTATCTTAAAACAAAGCATTTCTGAACATATATTTATAGTAACTCTTTTTTAATTTGACAGAAAGCACCAGCATTTTAGTTACATTCCGTGAATAAAGATTTAAAATGAAAACATACATTGTAAATATACCTTTTTCTTGGTGAATAAGCTTTCTTCGGTACTTAGGTCCAGTGTAGGTGTGGTTACCCTGTGGGTTGTTCGATCTATGTAGAGGAAATGTACCAAACCCGGGAACTCCTCCAAATACTTATTGATGGTTAGGGAATCTCTAGTACACTGTTAATTAAGGATAAAGCTCAACTTGATTAACATAAAAGGGACATTAGAGGCCCAGATTATTGCTTAAACTGATATTCAATTAATTGTATCTGCTTTGAAGTTAATTTCTATTCAAAATTAATTTCTAATTTTGTTGTTTATCCCTGATTTAGTTTGATTTCCCCTTTTTAACTAATCATTAATAAAAATATGTTTTCGAACATTTGTTAATTACCTAATTTCCTTCTCTATCCTAAAATGTTAACACTCCGTATTTTCGCAACGGAATATTTTTGCGCCATAGTTTATAAAACAAACTATCAATATTTTCTATGTAGGGTCACACTCTTAAATATTTGCATATCATTAAGAAACATCCTGTATGGTTCGACTATGAAAAAGTATAAAATAACATCTAAAGAAATGTGCAACGAGTGCCAATAATCTTTCAAAATAGAATTCCAAATTTCCACTAGCTCTAAGGACAAAAAATGTTATTAAAAGGAGATAATCCCCTTCAAAGGAAGGCACCTGGTCACTTTAAATCTGGCAATAATAGTTTCCATTTCCTTCAATTATCGAAGAAACAGTAATGACCTCTAGAGGACATGAATTCGTTGATTTTATAGTCTTACCTAAAAAATCAGTGCGGAAATCGCTAATATGCCATCGCATCAGTATATCAGCAAGAATTTAGTGATTTTCTTAATTTTTCGCTTAATGGCATGTAAAATAAAAACTCAAAAATAAGAAAAACAAATACCTATTGAAATTAACTAATTCTTTAACGAACATTTCTTTGCTATTGAAGAAAACTACCATTATATATTGCATTTTGGCAATCTAACGGTTTATAAAAAAGGATATGATCCTAGAGAAAAATTCTTGATACTCTTCACTTTAAGAAATTCATCGAAGGTGTCCAATTTATCTTTAACTATTCTAGCAGCTTCCACTACATGTTTTCTACTAGCTTGCAGTATAGATCCATCAACTGACGTTAAACTCAGCAATTCCTTTAGATTTTCCAAAAAACCCAGAGCCAAAGTTTCTGCTCTCAACAGAGCTTCGTCAGAAGCATTCTTCAAATATTCCTGATATTTTTTCCTGATAACCTCCCATTTTTTCATCAGTTGCTTGTAAGAGTTTTCGATAGCAGAATTTTTATTTTTTTTCAAGCTGTCGTTTAACCTCCTCGTAGCCAGATCTAAATTTTCAAATGCCGGTTGAAGGGTTTCACGGTCTCGCTGAATTTGTACGAGTTGCATAGTGTGTAAATGGCAAAAGTTCTCATACAAACTAGCTGCGACTGCAGGATTTCCGATTTCAAGTAAATACAGTAAATTAACACCTTCTGAGATTGGTACAACGTGTACCACGTGGGGCAAGCACTTTGGATAACGATCGGGACCTGCTAATAAAACTTGATAACTTGAGATGCCGGTAACTGTTTCTTTTTGCTCAGTCTTTTGTAAGTTAATACTTTGGCATAGGATTATCAAGAAGAGGGTATCCGCGGAAGATAATTCTTTGGCATTTTGACTGAAATTGTAAATTTAATAATTGAAAAGGATTACAAATTCCTCTAAATCTTACCTAGAATAGAGGGATAGGAACCTGTTTTGCACTAGAACCAATGCGTGGACTCTATTGCACTCTATCAATGGGGTAAGTTTGTCTACTGTGTCTCTCAGTGACTTTATAGTTTCAGAGCTAAGATCTGCATTAACTATTAACTGTTCCACAGCTTCCACGAAAATCGCTTGGTCGTTTTCATTTAAATATGACCAGCTGTCGATTAGTTTACTTGTTAAGTCAGATCTATCTTCTCTTGCTTTTAATCTAAGGAAAAACTTAATAGACACGTTTGGCGATGAAAGTATTACTTACTGATAAACGTCTGGTCCACAAAGGCATCTCACAATGGTTACGCATATAGATATATATTTTTTCATGTGAATATGACCTTCATCACCTATGACCACAAATAAATACCCCATATACTACAAAAATGCATGTTACCGTTTTATAAATATTTATATGCTGACAGTTACTTCGTTAAAATACAGTTTTAAACTATCCCCACATTGAATGGAAGTGTAGGAATTACCAAACTGACAGTTCATAATCCTATGTGATGTTATGATAGGAGAAAATATTTGAACAATCACATCGTTCTCTATTGTGCTATCCAATGAGCCCTTAAAATAAAAATATTTTTTATTTTTGGAAATTAATCTTGCAATTTTGAATTACCTCTGCAATAAGACCTTGATTTGTAGCGAAGTCGTTTATATGTTTTGCAAATGCTTTGTTAAATTTTGTATAAACGATATCATTTAAATGGTCAAATATTAATAAACCGTTCATTTTAAATGTTACTATTTGAGATCAAATGTATAAATCACAAACGTTTGTTAAATATTATACATATTCCTTGTTTTATTCCATTTAACGCTTTATCATTTTTCCACTTTTTACAAATATGTTTTCATCAATCTTAAAAGTCTTAAAACTTCTGTTTATTTTTTGTATCAGAAATCAACACGAACACACTGTGGGGTGGGCAAATGTCCACGAACATGAGACCCAAAAAGAGAAGAAGAAGTACAGAAGAAGAAGAGAACTACAGGGCATTAACCTCTTTCATGTTTCTTGACGTTGCTTTTGACAGTTCAGAGGACGCTGAAACTGACAGGAATTGTGTTTTGGATATCTTTTGTTCTTAAAGTAGAAAATTATTGTGTGTATCTGCATAGCAGCTCATTTATTTCGCTTGATTCGGTTCTCAAAATGACAAATTCTTAAACGTTTTCCGTTGATTATTGTTAAGAAGCTAATAACGTCATCCGGAAGATGTCTATGACTGGAAGTGTGGGAAGTCCCAGCAAAGATTCTGGCAACAACAGTTTAATAGGAAGTGACAATAACTTACCGAGAGACTTCAGCAGGTTATCACTTTTCTCAGCAGGTTCTACCACCTCTCAGGACGAACATTTTAGGTGTGAGGGGCACGCTGAACATAGTTTGTCTTGCATGAAAAACTATTTGCAAGCTGGGAAGTTGTGCGACGTGACCCTCATAGCAGGCAGCAATGGCAAAAGAGTCCAAGCCCACAGGTAAACGTTGTTAGTTTTAAAATATTGTTAATACACTTTTAATTTTTCAGATTGGTTTTATCCGCAGCAAGCGAATATTTCTCTGCGATGTTTACAGGAAGTCTAAGTAACTCTGAGGAGACAGAAATAACTCTTGGCGATGTTAATGGTGATGTATTACAAGCTGTTGTCGATTATTGCTATACAGGTTCTATTGAAATACGAGAAGACAATGTGGAGACATTGTTGGCCACTGCTTGTCTTATGCTGTTACATGAAGTGGTAGAAGCATGCTCAAGGTAAAAACAGTGATGATTTTATTTAGTTTTATACTTCTGAATTTTAGGTTTTTGGCTCATCAACTTCATCCAAGTAATTGTTTGGGAATCGCTGTTTTTGCCGAACATCAAGCTTGTACCAGCCTGTTGCAAGAGGCAAACGCTTACACTAGCCAACACTTTATGCAAGTAAGTTTGTGAGCATTCTCAGAAGTATGTTAAAATAAACAGTTTCTTTTGAACTGTAGGTAATCCGCAATCAAGAATTCTTGCAATTGAACGTTGAACAAATGGTAAACCTCCTTAACAATGATGACCTCAATGTGTCTTCTGAAGAACATATCTTTCAAGCTCTGATGAGTTGGATTCAACATGATCCTGTTATACGTCGACAGTATATCGGGCAACTTCTTGGCTTGGTCAAATTACCGCTTCTTTCACCTGCGTTTTTGACAGACCATGTCGAACTTGTTATTGAAGGTAATTTATGTACGTGCATTTATCTTCTGTTATACTGTAATAGATACATTATAGTACTAGCATTATAATGTAGAAAAATGCATATTTATACTTTTGCACTAAACAATTCGATTGTTGTTAATGAAATAATAAGTCGGTTTAGTGTTTTCAAATGATATAACATTAAATACAAAAAGATTAGTGTCATCGCAAATATCCAAATTCAAATTTTTAAAAATGTTAATTTACGCCAACAAATAAACTTATTTCTGTAATTTACGCCATAAACGATCGTTATTGTACATGCCACGTTTTCCTTGTAACATAAATAACTATTATAATATGCATAATAAAATAAATTACATTTGTATTAATTGTTCAATATTCTATTCTCATATTTTTGAAGACGATCCTACTTGTCAAAAATTGATCATGGAAGCGATGAAATGGCACTTGCTGCCCGAAAGGAGGCTTCAGATGGTATGCGCTCGGACCAGACCAAGAAAAGCGACCCTGGGCAAGCTACTGGTGGTTGGAGGAATGGACAAGAACAAAGGTGCCACGACTATTGAAAGTTACGACCCCAGATGCGACGTTTGGACTGTGGCACATCATATGAGTGGTAGACGATTGCAGTTTGGGATAGCCATAATGGGTGACAAGTAAATATATTTTGTCATTATGTTTGACGTTTTCTTAAAAATACTTCTGTTTGTTCAGATTGTTAGTAGTTGGTGGTAGAGATGGACTTAAAACATTAAACACTATGGAGTGTTTAGAGTTGGAGAGCGGTTCTTGGACCCAACTTTCTCCTATGAATACCCACAGACATGGGTTAGGAGTTGCGGTTTTAGGTGGAACACTATATGCAGTAGGAGGACATGATGGTTGGAGTTATCTGAATACAGTAGAAAGGTATAATTTGTTAATGTTTGTGTTTTGTTAGAACTTTTTGATTTAATTTTTTATGATGAATAAACTTAAAGTACTCAAACGTTTTATAAAGTAACGATTTTAAAACTGCTCCAGGTCAAAGTCAAATATACAAATTAAATCACAGTTTTTACTATTTCTTAGTCTGATAAATAATTTTGTGTTTTCTCTACATGAAAATTGTAATGTACTAGTCATTTCGGCCGGTGTCCCATGCATCCCAATTCCGACGATACGAAGGTCCGAAAGTGTTCCTATTGGTTAATATTCATTCAAATTTTTACCACTCATTTTCATCCGAAATTTTTAAAATTCATACAACGTCGGAAAAAGTAGAAATAATTTTAACTTTTATCCGAAATCGTATGTTTTTTAACCTCACTTTTTAAGTTTTTAACATACTATGATTGTTGCTTGATATATTTACAGTCAAATAAATGTTATATTATAATGTCGAATGTAGAAAATATAATATTACGTATATTTTCTATAATATATACCTATGGTTGTCATTTGAAAATGTTTCACCTTCATCTTGTAATAAATTCCATGGTTCTATACTTGATTTCTATGAGATTAATTTCGGATGCATGTGAATTATAATATTATCATTCGTACGAATTAAAATATTTTCGGATATCGTACATCGGATTTCGGATGCATGGGACACCGGCCTTCGCATAGTGCTCCAATAATACGTTCAGTCTAATTGATGAGAACTTAAATATGTGATTCGTGAGAACACTGACAGATATTATTTTAAAAACAAATGTTGCTGTCCTGGTAAGTAAGTTAACTGAAACCATCTATGTTGCTACAGATGGGATCCGGTGGCTCGTAATTGGCAGTACGTCGCCCCGATGCAGAACCAGAGGTGTTCGGCTGGTATCGCAGTCTTAGGAGGAAAGCTTTATGCCGTTGGTGGACGTGACGGTGCTTCTTGTTTGCGGACGGTCGAATGTTACGACCCACATACTAACAAATGGACGATGGTGGCTCCGTTAGCTAGACGAAGAGGTGGTGTTGGTGTGGCAGTAGCAAACGGTTTCCTTTATGCGATGGGTGGCCAAGACGCTCCGGCCAATAACCCAGCTGCTTCCAGATTTGACTGTGTTGAAAGATACGATCCAAGTAAGTCCAACATCCAAAAATATTGAGAAAAGTAGATAAGTACAGAAATTAACTTAATTTTCTTTCAAAACTAACAGTTTTCTTTGAACATATTTCTATCAAATTTACATTTTTTATTGTTACATTCTCAATGCTCATAGTAATTGCTGAGAAAATAATTAATGCTGTTGTAAATTATTGGTGAAAATAAATTTTAGGTATCGATGCCTGGACAAGTGTTGCGTCCCTCTCTAGTAAGAGAGATGCCGTGGCTGCTTGTCTTTTTGGCGACAAACTTTTCGCTATTGGAGGTTACGATGGAAGCCATTATTTGCGTACCGTTGAACAGTATGACCCAAATACTAACGAGTGGAATACTCTTGCACCTTTAATAACAGGTCGAGCAGGTGCTTGCGTTATTTCTGTAGGTAACAACGTTCAGCTAAATGAATGACTACAATGTTTATGAGGTGACTTCACATTGCTGTTAAAATGAATTCAATTTTATTTTCGTTGAGGGATTTCTCGTATTTTAAAATGAATTTTTTTTGTGACTTTTTAATTAATAATCTTACAATGCACTTTGCCGGAGACTGAAATGGCAGCATTTATTTTTTTGTCCTAAAGACTGACGTTTGCGAAAAAATTGTTCCAAGATTTTTATTAATATCATCATATATTTCCCTTAAAAGTTTTTATCTCTCTCTATGGAGTCATTCCAGTTTATTAAAATATGTTTTTTGTAAGGTTCTGTCTGTTTTAAAAAACTGTTTTAAAATTTGTCCTGTGATATTATATTTATTGTTCTTTACTATTAATTTAGGAACCTTACAGAAAAAGTTTGTAAGTTGTAAGAAAAAATGTGATAATTTTATTAACAGGGCTTTTTATTGGTAAACAAGATTGTAATTTTTCAACAATAAACTTTTCATAAAGATTTAAATATTTATTTTCCTGAAAAAGTTTTGCATCTCTATGATGGACCTGTACATATATCGGGGCTTCAAGAAAGAAAATTACTGAGTTGTCCAACTTCAATCATCAGGTAGTAAAATAAACAAAAAAAAATATTTTCCTATTTTACATAATCGACAAGGCAAAGGCAAACTTGTAAAGAGTATCGATCAGCTGATACATACCATTTATTATAATATTTTGTGAGATGCTAATGTGTGACAATCAAGAAAATGAATGAGGGGAACAAGGCGGCCTGACATTATGAGCATAGTAAGTAAAAAGAGTCCAGAAGCGCGCAAATTCACTTGAGAATTGTTGATTATACTCGACGGTAGAAATGATAGAGGGATTCATCGCTAGCTTTTGGACTAGTAAGGGGGATGAAGCGTGCCGGGAACGAAAATCCATTGGCGTGTCTGCGTAAAAGGCAACAAGATATAGAAAATAATGAAAAAATATAATAAAACATAACATCTAATATTTTTTACGGTTTTACGGCTATAACAGGCACTTTGATCCATTTTAATTATTACAGCATTTTAAAATGTCCCAATTGTGTTTTTTTAATTTATAAATTTATTATAGCCATGGAATTAGACCCCTCGTCTACGCTTATGCTATGACGTTTCTCAGGACGGGTTAAATCAAGTCCGTTTACACCCAAGAATTTAGACAATTGTATTTTTTGTATAAAATCCTTGGTTTACACCCACTAAAAAAGCATTTCCCTATTCCCTACCAAGTGCAAAAGACAGAGATAGAATATAGATCGACGTTCAGTGTAACTCGGTCTCTAGACGATTATAGATTCTATCGATGTGCGTAGCGAGCGGCACAAAGATAAATAATATTGAACCGTATAAAAATCATTATATTTTATACACATTATGGTAATAGTGTTTTTATATTATGTCTTAGTTACTCTTTATAATTTCGACTGCGGAGTATAGACGGTAGACGGTCGAGAAACAGCTTGTGTTCTCCATCGCACTAAATTATGTCACAATGCGTTCTTGACGATGTGAAACAATTTTTTCATAATTTTAAACATCTATAATTTGTAGCATTAAAATTATTTTTTTACCGGTGTTGGTTGTTATTCGTTATAGACTACAAATTTATACAGTTCTGAAAGAAATTAATATCGCTGTCCATCTCAGTTCCTAGCGGGCAGCCGACCAGAGCACACGTGTTTTGTGAAAGTGTAGTGCAAGGAGCAAATTCTACCTGCCTTTATTAAGGCTACCTGGAAAGAATCCCTTTCTTTCCTTTTAATCACCGACCTAATCCCCGGCTTAAGCATAGACGCCGTCGGCATCTTTGTTACAGCACCTGTGCCGGGGTTATGCCCAGGTAAGTTTTTACTTATTTATCAGTTATTTGCATTACTTTAGAATACATTTCTTTAAAATTGCGACCCCCGACAAACAATATACCAGACAGACAAATACACCAAAAGACACGTACGCCCCCGTGAGGGGGCATCCCCACACGACTAACACTTACACACCTTCCCCCCCACACACACATACACACACACAC